AGGTCAGGGAGAAGAGCTGGAATCTGGAAGCATGCAACGATTCATTAATGTAAATCTTAATTGTTTAAAAAAAAAATCATGGGGGGGGGGGCTACCATATTTTGTCTTTTTCTAAGGGGGGACAGCCCAATTTTTAATATACACCTAGGGGGGGGGGACTTGTGATTATTTAACAATAACATGTGAAATTCACCGGCACCCCCTCGGTCAAATTAACTGGTGATTCCCTTACTTTCAACAGTTAGCAGGAGTCCGATCGAAAACGTGTCTCAAAAAATACCTTTACATCATTTTTCCGATTATTTTTTCAGCTCGTAACGATAAAATCAGTCAATTTAGAACTAACATGTATGCTATCGGAAAGCATTTTGGCACAATTTTACTGAAAAGACGAGTTTTTCATTGCTCATGAATATTAATTTATGCAAATAAGACGATTATTTCAACCAATCGTGTCATGCAACTCCCCCCCCTGCTCTAGCCGAATGAAGAGCATTACGAGGGTAATATGCGCATGCGTCTCTTTATCCGGCGCAGCAATGGCGGAGAATTTGAGTAGGAGAGCTCTTCGGACCATTCAATGTTCCATTTGTTAACACTGTAAACTGTAAAAACGTCTTTTTTTCTTTGTAAATTGTGAAAAGCCCTTTTTATTTCCCGTAAAACCGTACCAGCTACCCCCCTTGCCTTCCCTCTGTAAACAATGTAGTCTCTTCTTTGTTTTTGATACTTTTTCTCATATAAACTCATATAATATAATAGTTTGCAAAAAGTATAATGCGTTGTATTTTTAGCGTCACGCATGGGACCATATTGAACACGCGCGGCGCAATGACCATGATGATTATGAAATTTCAAGTTGCGTGAAATTAAGGTAGAGATGCGGGTTCGTGGCACTTGGCAGTGACTTGGCAAGTGATACACAGTTTTCAAGAAGGCACTTTCTTCATAGTAAACAGATGTACCCATAAACCAATTTTGACAGGAAACAGAAGCATGGTTTAGAGGCTAAGTTTTTTAATCACTTTTGACCAAAAAAAGCACATTTTTGTGCATATTTCAAACTACAGTGTCCATTAAAAAAACTACTAACACAATTTTAAAATTCATACAATAATCTTTCCGAAAATATATAGTTTTGTAGACAAGGGAGGTCATCTTGGTTTCTTAATTAACTAATTAAAATACCTGTCAGGTAAACTGCATCTCTACCTTAAACAACAACCAGTAAGCCTTGCAAATACTTACTCATTGACACAAGAATACATTGTGAATAACGGTGAAGATACCTTGACACTACTAGTTTAAAGACAACGTCTAGCATGTAA